AGTTCACAGAGTCTGACTCCGTCCAATTCAGGAGTCTTCTAAACAAACAACGTCTTCTTTCACTTATAATGAGCTGGAGACATTGTTAGCTTTCCTATACTGATCACTGAAAATAGCAAACAAAATCAGTTGCTGGGAACACTCAGCAGGTCAGGCAGCATCTATTGAGAACGGAAAGTGAGTCAATGTTTCGGGTCCATGACCCTTCGTCAGAACTGGGGCATGTTTGGAGGGAGAGGCTTTTAAGTGCTAACAGAGGCAGGGCAAGGAAGACAAAGGAGAAAATGTGGTAGAGGACAGGGTTAAAGAGGTGTTAATGATGCAAAACAAAGGGTCGGTTGCAACAAAACAGGAGGAAAGAGGTATTAATAATGCATAACAAATAGAGGGATTAGGGGATATGGGGATAGAGCAGGTAATTAGAATGAGGTCTGAAGATCAGGCATGATCTTATCAAATGGCAGGGCAGGCTTGAAGGGCCGAATGGCCTACTCCTGCTCCTAATTCTTATGTTCTTATGTTCTAACAAAGATGGGGGAAAATTGCAACAAAATATGCAGACCAGAGAGAGAAAAGGTGCATCTGGGACCCAGATGTTGTGGTAATGGTCACAGAAGAGGGGGAGGGGCAAAGTGAGCTGTTATGGTCTAAAATTGTTGAAATCAATATTGAGGCCAGTAGGCTGTAAGGTTCCTAGCAGATAAATGAGGTGCTGTTCCTCGAGCTTGCGCTGTGGCTCATTGGAACAGCGTAGGAGACCATGGATGGTGAGGTCAGAGTGCGAGTGGGAGAGAGAGTTGAAGTGGCAAGAAACTGGAAGCTCAGGGTTGTACTTGCAGATAGAACGGAGGTGTTTGGCAAATCGGTCACCCAATCTGCGTTTGGTCTCCCAATGTAAAGGAAACCACATCGTGAGCAGCAAATGCAGTAAACCACATTGATGGTAGTACACGTAAATCACTGTCTTACTGGAAAACTGTGTTTGGGGCCCTGGACAGTCGTATGGGAGGAGGTGAAAGGCCAGGTATTGCATCTCCTGTGTTGGCATGGGAAGGTGCTCGAGGGAGGTGAGCAACTGTTGGTGGTGATGGAGAAATGAACCAGGGAGTCAAGAGGGGAACGGTCCTCATCAGAATGCTGAGAGGGGAGGGGAGCGAAAGATATATTTAGTGGTTGGATTATGCTGGAGCTGCCGGAAATGGCGGAGAATTATTTGTTGGGAAATAAGTAAAAATAGCACTATCATTTCCATTATACCAATGAGTGGGAATTGTTATAATGAACACACTGGATGGTTTTAGGTGCCCTGATAAAACCATTCTTGGTACAACAATCTCAGAATATGCAAACCTTCTGTCTTGCTTTTTTTACAGAAGCTGTGTCACAGCCAGTGGAAGAATTGAAAGCAGGGATAGGATACAACAACAACTTGCATTCATATAGCACCCTTCACATGGGCCAGCGTCCTCATGGCTCTGAACAATGGTAGACTTTGACGCCGAGCTGGGAAGAAGGGAGGTAACCAAAGGCAAGTTCAAAGATGAAAATTTTCAGGTGTGATATGAAGACAAGTAAAGAAAGGGCAAGGCAGAGGGATTGAGACAGACAGTTTTAGCGGTTTGGGGAGTTGTGGCTGAAGGCACAGTCACTAATGGTGCAGCAAAGGGGTTGAGGGACATGCAGAAGGCCCGAGCCAGCCGAGTGAAAGGGACAGGCTGAGGAGTAGTGCTTGAGCAGGTTGGAGAGCTCGGGAAGTGAACTCTTTGGTTGTTTGCTAAGGCTCTGAAACAATAAATGCAATGTAAAAATGGTCACCAGATATAAAAACTGATGTAATACAGGTTGATGCAAGTATCTCACAGAAACATGAAGAAACAAGGGCTTCTCTCTCAGCAGTGAACCAGAAACTACCCCCACCCAAAAAAAAATCTTACGTTTCCACAGACTGAGTTGCTGGTGATAGTTAAGAGCAAGTGAGGCCTGGGAAGATGGAAAGTTAAAACTTTGGAGGCAAGAAATGATTTGGTGCTTCCCATGGGACACGAGACAGGATGCATGAGATAGATACACAGAGGCATGGCCCCTTGGCTTGTCTCTGCTTACTTCAGCTGCACAATTCATCAGCAAATGGAAAATTAACCGTTTCCAAGTAATTGAAACTTAACTTCTGTTTGATGTGGGCAGTTTACGATTTAGCTCTGCTTTGATTATAGAGTAGAATCAGCTAGAATGCTGCAGATACAATGATGCAAACAGCAATTACAATTGCTTGTGGTTGCCATTAGATGTTATAATTCTGAGCAATATCAATTGAGTGCTTATTGCCTCCAGGCACTGTGGTAACAGCATGGAGCCAATCAGCTCGTAAAGACAGTGGAAAATGACACACAATATTAGAAGTTGAAGAGATAGCAGTCTTTATTATTCTGATGAACCCTGCTGCCTGGCTGCTGCCCCCACTCAGCAAGCACTGGCCTGCTTCAATGTCTCCTGTCTGCCTGACCCGACCTGACCCACCATTTGTGGGCAAGCTTTCAGCCATTATCTGGAACTCCATACTGGAGTCCCTTCACCTCCCTTCCTTCCTTCCATTTTCAACTCTCTATGGTGATCTCCGTAGTCCAATTCCTGAGCCAGGTGGGTCCGCAGTACTGCAGGGCACTGCTGATGATAGCCCAGTCAGCCTGGATCATTGGCAGGAGCTGGAAGGGCAGAGCAGTCACTGGAGGAAGGGACTCTTCCTAATCAGCTCCCGTTAACATTGCAAGCCAAAGCCCCCCGGTTCAGGTAGTCCTAGCTGGTCAGGCAGCGGGAAAACATGCCCACAGCATATTCAATAATAAGCTAATGCGGTTTCAGCCGGTTAGACACCAGCAGTACCCCAGCGCACATTCTGGGGTCCACAAGCCTTGGCTCTTACCAACGCATGCCTAATACGCTCTAGATAAGCTGGTTACGTTCCACGCTCAACTCAGTTCAATCTGGTCCTCTCTCAACTCAAGTGGTCAACTCCAATGGTGTGAGATGATACAGAGCAGCGAGCTTGCCTTATCTCACAATGAGGGAGAGACAAAATCCAGAACAGAGTCACCTTTGGGACGCTCCAACAGGACAAGTAAAGCCTGGGAGGCTGAGGGTCTGCAGGGCACAGGAAGTAACTATTGAGACAGTATGTGCCTTGTGGGAGGTGACATCAGTGGGAATCTTATGACCTGGAAGTCAGCCATTTTTGTAGTTGAAAACAATTTTAAAAAGTAAGAAACTGTTTAATGATGGGTATTCATGTTCTTTGACTTGTAGAAAATCGGAAAACCTGACAAATACCACATTGTACTAATTAAAATTGGAAATGATAAAACCATCAAATATTACACTATCACATATGGCACTGTATTATATATAACACTGTTTTGTTTATCAAACGTTATACTATTATATATCAAACTAAGTCCATTTTATTGTTATACCCGCATCAGTTTATTTGCTTGTCCATGAGCAGATCAGGTTTGGAATTTTATACCTTCAATCCCCACTGTAATTTTTCCACCTCTTAAAAATGTGGAACATTAAATTATTCGGTCAAAGCTGCTTTATCCCGGCCCCAAACAAGATGTAGATTCAGTTCTTTTCTTCAACAAAGAAAGTACACAGTTCTTTGTCAGTTCAAACCCGCTTGCATTGGACCGGTGCCGGTTATTGGAGTTCTCCGCGTGGCTCAGTTGTGCTTGTTCCCCACTTGATTCTCTCCCACCGTTGTTGGGTGTGTTTCTTTCTGCCCCTGCTCTCTGGAACTCCTTCCCAGATTCCCTCCAACTCACTACTCCCCACTTTTAAAATCCGCCTTAAGATGTATTTCTCTAATTGCACTTTTGGTCAGCTTTTTGCCTCTTCATCCTCATAAAGAGCAAAACCTAAATGACCCTCCCACCCCACACCCAGTGGTGTGAAGCACTTTGACATGCCCCCTCGCCCCCCCAAAGTGAAAGGCACTGTATAAATAGAATTTGTTGTTACTTTCCTCAGCTCCCGGATAATACGATTTGGAATGGGAAATTCAAATTCTGTTGGAAGCTGCACTTTGGATGCAGAGAAAAGGTTTTTATATAATTACAATCAATCTGGGGTGTGGCATTTTTTGCTGAATATTGAGAGGTGAGCTGATAAAAATCAACTGGTTACAGAATGTTCCAGCAAATTATAGGTCTGGATTCTTACGTTGCAATATGATTTAAGGATTCATAATTTCAATTGCTTACAAGATGGAGCAGTTTCCCACGAGCTATGAAGTGACTCCTGTAGATTTTGCTCTTTATGAGGTGTATGCAAAAGTCTTGTGATTGGAACAGTGGCTGAGTTATCAAATTATAGAAATTTAAAACACAGAAGGAGGCCAATCAGCCCATTAAATCTGCACCAGCTCTCAGAGCAACGTGTTCATTTAATTCCCATATGCCTTCAAGCTTCAAACTCTCATATATAACTGCCTATTTCCCTCTTGAAACCCACAATGGACTCTGCCTCTACCATCTTATTTAGAAGGATATTCTACATCCCAACACCTTTGAGTGAAACATTTCGCCCGAGCTCTCCTTTTGCTCTTTTGACTATCTTACAACTGAATGCCTTATGTGCAGAAATAGCTTCTTCCTGTTAATCCTGTCCAAACCTCTTATAATTTAGTGTATCTCTTTCAGGTCCAGGAGACCTGAAGAACTTTATTCTTTATAGAATACATCCTACTTTTTATTATTATTATTGTTATTATTACTGTAATCAGTCCAATGTGGAACCAGCAGAGAAGCAGTGCTGGTTTCTGCAAATATGAAGTACTGCAGCTTAGAACTATTGGTTTCATAATGAGATGATTCTGTATTTATGGTCTGTTGCCATATTTGCCTACAAAAAAACACCCGCTACATCTGACAATAATTATGAATTGCTTTGAGACATTTCAACACTTAAAAATAAAAGGTAGGGTTTTTCAGATGCGCTCAACTTACTTCATAGCCATCCACTGACTGAGGGGAGACAGGCTTCCACGCCACTTCAATTTCTGTGGATGATGTACTTCGGACAGCCACTTGGGGAGGGGCTTCAGATGGCTCTGGTGAAATAACAAGAGGCTGGATTAATTGATTTCCATTTGAACAGTTGCAATGTGCTTCTTTTGACCTTGCCATTGCCAACCATGATAGGAGGAAATACTACCAAGAAATAAGTTTAGCTTTAATACCGGCACAGGTATTAAAGGGTGATGTTTCATTCACCACTTTGTGTGAATTGATATTATTTTTATACTGCACCTCTTGATTGACCGTCTTATTTGTGACAAAGTATTTTTTGAGCTCTGCACTTTTCCCAAACTGTGCACACACATTGACAATAATATTTGAAACTGTACAACATTACACTGACGATAAAGAATGGACACAGCATATCACACAGCAAAGTCTTCTACGGCTAATTATCTCAGTCAGTTCCATCTCTCAATCTATAGCTCACTCTACAATCAGAAAACAATTGCTTGTTTCTTTCTATTGATCTTGTAAATACTGACTCGCCTGCCTCACAAAGATCTTGCACCCCATCACTCTGTATCACAGAGCACACAGCAGGCTGTCACAATCCCAAATGTCCATGTAATACACCAATTACATTGACTCCGTTTTTTTTCTTCTGTTTTCTTCTGGGGAAACACTTTGAATTTTGTTCTTCAAAAACCTATAACATATGATGTAATTCATGATGACGTTATACCTTTTTACGTCCGAAACATGAATCGGCAAAAACAATTAATGTCAAAGAAAATTAACATGTCAACAGAAACCCTCATAACCTGCAGCACTGAAGTACAGGACAACAGCTCAGGCTTGACTGAGTGTTTCTTTAACTGGCCAAATACAAAATTATTGGTTGTAGGTTGTTCTGGAAAAAAAATGCAAAAGCCACAATACTTCTTTAACCAACAATTAAAGGCAAGGTTTTTACAGCAGAGGCCAATTACAGAAATGTATGTTCATGCTACTGTCTACTCTGTGTAAGGAACTTAGGCTCTTTCATCCTGAAAAGAGACAGCTTAGAGGGTACATAATGGAGGTATATAAGATTTTGAATGGGATTGAGACTGTGTGGCAAATGGTAGGAATCTAGGAGCTTAGAGTGAAAATCACTTGCTCAATAACACAAACTGATCTCTTAAGAAAGTCATTTTTGTATTGAAAAGACAGCTCCAGACAGCAGCATTATCCCAAGAGATTCAATGGCATTTTATGTATAAACAATGGAACACTTAACTGAATTCCTTTTTATCTCTACTGGCTCATTGAATGAATAGGAAAGGTGATTGTGTTGAAAAAAACTATTTCCTTGCATAAAACGAAGACTTGGGTGCAAACCATCAAAAAAAAATATTTGAGTTCACTTGTGTAACTTTCTATTGAAACCTCAGTCATCATTTGTTCTCCCCATTGGACAAGATGAGAAATATGCATCAACGACAGCACAGACCACACACGGAGCATATTTTAATTAGACAGGCAGGTATCTGTCACATGTGAAAACACACTGCCATGCTTAGGTGTAATCTGAAGATGGGTAGAGAGGGGGCAAGACTGAGGGATTGAGGCAAAAAGTTCAAGAGATTCAGGGCAAAGTGGCTGGTCACCGATTGTTGAGCAGAGGGAACAAGGAACATGCATAAGACCAGAGCCAGCTGAGCAAAGGTGGCAGATAGAGGAGTGGGGTATGAGCAGATTGGAGAGAGAGGCTGGTACTAAGGCATGAAAGTGAGAGTAATGATCCTGAAATCAATTATTTCAACAGGAAGCCAAGCATTGGGATGATGGAGGTATGGAGCCTGATAGGGGCGATTGCAGATGATGTGGCGGAGGTGGAGGAAGGTAGTCCTGGTCAGGGACCAGATGTGCGGTAGGACGTTAAACCAGATTACATCATGTAGTTGCCTTTGAAAGCTTTGTCTGTCAAGCTTCCCACAGCTTGCCAGTCAGGACATCACTCATTAGGGCTTTGACTTGTAGGGTTAACAGGAGCCAAGAGAGAAGCATCCTTGCTCCTGGTCTGTTGTTCCAAGCCTTGCTGAGAAGCCAGGTTGACTGATCATCAGCCCTGCGGACTTGCCTGGCTCAGGATCGAAACTACCAAGACTGCTTCGAATGGTTGGCTCAATTCCAATATATTGTTGCAAAGATGTCAACTTGGAATCAAATCAAGCCCAAGGAGACCTTGTTTACCTTCTCCTCCAAGGAGAATTGTCTGAGGACATTGAGACGTGGAGTGCCATAAATTAGTCTTGTGAAACGTTCATCAGTTATCAAAGGCAGGTATCTTAGAAAAACAGCAACTCCTACAAAGCAGGGGTGAAAAATAAAACCATCTTTCAGTGACAGCTAATAACTTACAGATAGCAAAACCTTCCCTTGCGTATGAGAATGTTTATTAAATCAGACACAGAAAACAGTGATTTGGAATATATTTATGTATGTCATGTGAAATAGCAGGATGCCTGCATTTGGAATGGAAGATGGGACTGTGTCAATTTAACAGCCTGTACATCTTCACTGTCAATGTCAAAACTCCCACAATACAGCCAATGGCCAAAAAAGAGCAGATGCGGCAATTGGCTGCCACAATCCGCCCCCAAAATATACAGTCAATTCACTTTACAGTATATATTGTGAAGCGCTTTGAGACATCTCGAAGATGTGTTAACAACAGCAACAACAAAATTAGATTTGTATAGCGGCTTTCATGTCAGGAGGACGTCCCAAAAGGCATTATATCTAATGCAAGGATAATTATTATTATTATCATTATATAGAGTTACTCAATGATTTATAAGCCTTCTTTCTTATGCATCTGCACTGTGACCAGATAAGAAAATTAATTTTCAAGGGTTATCTTTTTTCATCTTATATATCAATGACCTAATTTGGAGCTTTGTGTTCAACTTTGAACACCCAAATTTAGGAAGTCATTGAGGTTTTCTGGCAGCTGTTCGCTAAATTAGTCCTCCTGACGTGAAAGGCGCTCTATAAATCTTGTTGTTGTTGTTGTTGTATTTTAGCTATGATGAAAGGCTGAGTAGACTGGGATTATGTGCCTTGGATGAGAGGAATTTAAGGGGAGGTTTGAATGAAGTATTTATGATTTTTCCCTTTGGAAACAGAAATCCATAATGCTGCACCTTCTCTGCCACCTCAGTTGAGCATAGATTAGCTTAGAGAGTGGATCTACTGTGGACCTGGTCCAACCAGAAGAATTCTGCTGCTGGTTTCATATGCTAAAAATGGCCAACTTCTGGGTTAGTGATGACGTCACTTTCTGTGCATTATGTAGATGCACGCATTGCACAGTCACTGGTATCTCTGGTAAGATAAAGGATATAGGTGATCCTGTTGTAATGAGGTTGCCCTGGTAAGCCATTCTCCAAATCCATTCCTTCAGGTTGTATATCGTGTAGCATGGAAAACGGTTGAAATATCACTCAATCCTATTTAATACATCTTGAATTCTCCCCACCATTCCAAATATGGATACTCCACATTATTAGAGCAATTGTTTGATGAAAGAAGCTGTAGAGTGGGAAACAGACTCAATATACATAGTTTTCTAATTATCTTCAATGACAGTGATTTAATGTTTTCTTTCTTACTCAACTTTGTTTTTCCCCATGTCCCTCACCTAAAGTTTCACTGACCACTTCCCTGATTTGCAGCCACTGTACAAATAATAATAGGCAATCCCTTGATAATCGAGTAAAATTGCTCTTCAGCTTTTAAAAAAAATTGGAGGAGATTTGAGTATTAAGATTGGCCTTGGTGGGCTCTGTAGAGCAATCCTAGAGAGACGGATTTTACCACAAATATAACAGATGAGAGATGACCCAGTTGATGATGTGGTCGCAGCAGATTGACGCTCCTTCCTCTGTCTATGTTTCTCTTCTTCCTTGGCAATCCTAGCTTATTCAAAATCATTAACTCCCTACCTATATATGGATTGGCAAAGTCTGTGGTCTTTGGAGGTTTCTTTCCATGTATTAGTGACAATATCACATTTCTTCAGGTTAGATTTCAAAAAATCTTCCTATCTCTTTTTCTGGCTGCCAACACAATTCAGAAAATAGTAGCTGTTTTGGAAGTCTAGAGTCATCGGTTCTGCTTATGTGACCAGTCCAGAAAAGTTGGGCTTCAATAATCAGTTTCAATATTGATACAACCGGATTTTGAGAGAACAAACACATTGGTTTTATGATCATTCAGGCGAATTTGAATGATTGTGCATAAGGAACATTGGTGGAAATCTTCTATGGTTGGGCTAAGTAACCCAGGACTCAGAACCGTTGAACAGGATTGAAAGAACTGTGGACTTTTAGTAGATTTTAGTAGATACATAGTCTTTTTTCATTGAAGACATGGGCTCTCAGACGGCAAAGCCGGTGAGGCACCATTGATGTGATGTTGAATCTCCTCATCGATGTTTACAATCTTTGATAGATAACTACCAAGGTATGTGAAGTTGTCTACATTCTCTATAATCTTTTTATTGATGGCTATTGGTAGAAGAGAAGCTGGAGTACCAGGTGCAAAACTTTTGTTTTGGAAACATTAATAGAATTTGAAAATATTCTAGGTTTCAGCAAAACTGTGTAAGATTGTTTGAAGGTTGCTTGCAGAATGAGCCACAATTGTATAATGGTCAGCATACAGAGATCGATGATGATGGTATTGAGGACTTTGTCTTTGCCTGTAAGCACCTTAGGTTGAAATGATTTTCATATAGTCAGTACTTGATTTCCATGTGACCGGATAGATCTAGAGTAGCTCAGAATAGAAAAGCCACAAGAAAAATTACAAAGTTTCAATGGGGTAGGAATCAGATTAGGACCACTGTAGAATATCCTTCCTTTCATCTTGGAGAGGCTTCTTTTTGTTCCCAAATTATTTACAGAAGAAGGTTGAAATTGTCTGACCCCCAGTCTTATACATTTCTCTTGGAACCCCATCTGGCCCAGCAGTTTTATTGTTATGAATCTGTTAGATCAGTTTTTGTCCTTCCTCAAGTGTGGTTGGCTTAGTTAGTTCGATTGAGATATTGTATTGAAGTATCTGGTCAATTGTTTGTTTACTTTCCTGTTGAGAAAGTTGTGGAATTGCTATTTCTATCCCTTTAAAATCTCTCACTCTCCTTCATAAGATAGTTACCATCTTTGAACATATCCATTAGAAAATGGTCCATAGATAATAACAATAATCATTGCATTTGATATAGCACCTTATTACATCTTTGAGACGTCTCAAAGTGCTTCACAGATTGTACTGTTAAGTGAATTGACTGTAAATATTGTGGGTGAAATGCAGCAGCCAATTGTGCACAGCAGTGTCCCACAAATAGTCGTGGATTGAAATGACCAATTTATTATTATTTTTTTTTGAAGGAATTATTATCCCTGGAAAAGCAATCCACCAATCGACAAACAACTGGGTTTCTACTTACTGCTAGGTAAGCTGAGGCGTGTTGAGCAAGGAAACTTGCCCAACATTGCGTGCTGCCGGAAATCGAACCCATGTTTTTCGCTTGCAAGGTGAGTTCTCTACCCACTGAGCTACAGGACTTTGACAGCACTGAAATATTCCCAAAAAGCACTGCAATAACTATGTAATTGAAACGTCTTTCTTAGTTGGTTGAAGCCAGTCAGCAAAAAGGTTCCCCATAAACACCCCCAGTTGTGTTCAGTATCTTCACTGCCCAGATTTGTTTTCCAATTTTATAGTTTGATTAATCCATGATAGTGTTTGTAGTGGCCATATTTTCTTGAAAGGGCCATCTGTTTTCCTATATGGCCTATTTTCTATTTTCCTATTTTCAGATTTCAGTCCAGTTCTCCACAGACAGAGTATAGCACAGTGATAGGAACAGTATTTTATCCAATGCACATGGCCTTAATCAGGAGCCAGGAACATGAGTTAATACATTGGCTGAATACTATGTTTTAATAGTAGGTCACCCATAGTGCCAATAAATTGTGACTCGAGGCATTGTTGTGAATTATTTTGCACCATCAAATAAATCGTACCAAGGTAACTGATGGCAAGGAGTGTTTTAAAGAAGTACTGCATTGATGGTTTCGATAACATCACAGAGTTTCACAGCAAAGCTCAAATAACTTACAATCATTCTCCAAGCCCCAAGAGAGCCATACACCCTTGAGTACACTGTGTCATAACTTTTTGATCATAAGTAGTGTTTCTTTGTTATTTCTTCTGTCAAGAGGTTTCCTATTATAACTTTGCCACAATGTATATCTCCCTGCACAATTGCTGTCCGTTAGAACTGCTGAATTCTTTTGAGGTGCTCCAAATATTGAGACATTTAAACCTATTGTGCAACAATAATTTCTGGCACCTTATCAGGTTACAATTCTGGAAGCATTGCAACAAAAGTATCATACCAGCCAAATCATGAGTTAATATCCTCCCCATGAATAAAAAGGTTAAGGATGAGAGAAAGAACAAAAAAATTGGCACAGACTTAAAGAGAAATGTAAAGAGGCTAGCTTGTCTTTCAGATGGGGAGTTAACCACTGTCTGGAGGATGGTGTTATTACCACAGAACACTGAAACCAGGGGGTTATTTTTTAATGCATCTTAAACAGCTGGTCACGCAAGCAACTATTTAATAATATTAAAAATGGTCCCCAAAACATTTAAGAGCTGCCATTCGACACACAGTGTCTGAAGCTCATTCTAGGCTATCACTCAAGGTCAGTATTCATGGAACCTTACATTGTGAGAGGTGCTGTCTTTAAACTGAGGTCTTCCTGTTCTCAGGTTAAAGATCCTTTTAAGGCAAAGGAACTTTCTTCTCTCCTGGTCAGCAATGCTCCAGATTAACTCGTGATTCAATTTGTGGATCTTTGTGGCACTTTGCCGCATGCAAAATTGGCTGCTGGGTTTCCAATCATTCGTTAATTTATTCATTCAATGGAGCACAGGATTGAGGATGCATTGATCCACACCGTTCCTGAAACCCTCACCTCCTCCTGTACTGCCTCAACCTCAATTTACTATCTTTGTTCCACTCTGCATCATTGCCAAATTCCTGACCGATCATCGTGAACCAGAACCAGTACAAGCACATCTTTAGAATTAAAATCACAGCAGGAGGGGGGATTATTTGCAGTTGTGATCCAGATATCAATGGACAAGAAAATATCTTCCCCACCCCTCCCCCAATTTTGGAGGAAAACAAAGCAATACTTGGAGGATTAAACAGAGGAACATTTCTGATGTTTGTGCTTTAACACTTACCATCCTCTGCTGAATAAATAATAGCTGTCAGACTAAATGGACCATCTCCTCTGTTGTTAAAAGCCTTAACTTTCACTTCAAATGGAGTGTATGGGGACATTGAGTCATCTTTGTGAACGTATCGGTTGGCATCAGGTTTGGACACTGTTACTTTTCTCCACTCCTTCTCTGCACTTGGCTTAAAAGCAACGATGTAACCAAAGTTGCTTCCATAATGGTACTCTCTTGGCAAAGGCTGAAAGAAGGAAAAATGGTTAGCTTTGAAGCATGTTGAGCAAAAAGACATTTGGAAATATCTCAGTAAGTTAAAATAGTAATGCTGGGCTTGACTTGAAGCTAATTATATCAAGGAGCAGAACTCATCTGCCATGTGCATTAACTTTATTCCATTATAATTATGTTTTTGATTGGTTTTGTTCCAGTCACAGCAAGCACACTGCACACGCAAACACACCACGCATCTGGTATTAATAACATATAGATGGCAGCTAAATCTGACCTGGAACGACGTGAATATATTTCAAGCTGCCAAAATGTTTCAAAGCCAAATGGATATTGCATCTTATCATATTAAAATCTATAATCTGCTGTCCTGTCCCCTGCCACAACCCCCCACCCCAAAAGATACTACACGCACCAGGTGTCAGACAAACAGTACATTATGACTACATCCACTAGATAAATCACAACCTCAGCAGTAACTTCACGCTCAGTAATAGCCTGAACAATGGTGATGACCTCATCTGGAACTAAAAGGTTTGCATCCAAAATGTTTGCTCAATCTTTCATGACTACTGCAGCCACGTTCCTACTCTTACAGTCAAACAGCAACTTTAAACTGCTTCAGCGTCCACTTTCACAATTACACACGAGTTTCCAAAGTTTTTATTCCTCTCACTCATTTCTTTCTCTTTGCTGTGGGGTTTATTTTATGGCAGACTGTCATCTATTGTGAACTAAAGAGGCTCTCACGAGCGAGGGTGAGTTGCAGGCTCTTCACCCCATGTCTGCAATGCTTGTGCCTGTAACTCACTGCCTTTGGATAACACAGCCTTACCTCATGCTTCCGAACTTTTTTAGTCTGCAGCAGATTGAGCAAAGGTAGAGTGCTGCATTCAAACACATGGACAATTTTGTGCATTTCATGCATTTAAAATGAGCAAATAAAAAAAGTATGTTTTTTCATCCACAATAAAAAAAAGTCCACCCAGAACAGCTTCAATAATTTCAGTCATGGAGTGAGGGATACAGGAGTTAAACTGAGCCACTGCGGTTAACGGATTAACATTTGCCAAGGTTGAGACTCAGGACAAATGTCTTTCTGCTGAGGAACAAATCGGATAAATGATTGGCAGCCGAATGTACAAATGAAGAGAAAAGCCTTACACACTATCATCCAGGAGAACAGTATCCATAAAAATAAAAGGAAGAAAAAATGTAACACTTCAACAATCATACTTGCAACTTGTATAGAAAATGCAACAGACTGGATTAAATAAAGGGAACCTAAAACACCTGGAAATAACACAAGGGCTAGCAGATTTTTATTATGTTTAAAAACTACCACAGCAAAATGTCATAATGCTATTATTCAAAAGATTTTCAAGATAAGATGTAACTTCACAAACTAAAACTCGAACAAATTACTTAATGTACACATCAGAGTCAATCCAATCAAATTTTTTTTGTCAGTGAAGCTATGTAATGCACTGAATCATATTGGATATTTGCATCAGTGCAATAGCAGGGGAACTTCCCATCCAACTTAGTTAAGAAGTGTTTGTACTTTGTTCTGTCAGATCAAGAATTGAAATGTCATGAGAAAATCACTTAACTTTTATTGGAGAATTTGACAAATATTTGAAAAGGAAAATTAAAAGAGGGTGCGGGAAGCAGGCAGGGGAGAGGTACTGAACGTACAACATATTCAGGGAACTGGCACAGGCACAATGGGCTGGATGTTCTCCTTCTGTGCTGTAAAAGTCAATGATTCCAATTTGCAACAAGAATGCATTGAGAAACCAAACCCTGACAAAAAGGGAATGGATACATCTGATATAAAACTGCAGCCTGAAATACAGCACAAGGCTTCACTGGCACATGCAATTTTACCCAGCTCGTATCACCTATCACAGTAAAGAGCAGACCAGCTGCAGCTAACAAGTGAGGCAGATTCACACTTCCTAATCTCTTTAGTCCTGCTTGGGAACTGTGTTTGGCAGCACCGGTGCGGAAACACAGCACATCGCTGTGTCTAAACCTATCATGAAAGCAACAAAGAAAGCCGCCCCTTAGAGACTACACTTGTTACCAAACATACCGTCCATGTTACTGTCAGTTCCCGGTGGTTTCCTCCCCCTCCTCCGACATCAGACGGAGCCACAGTTGGAGCTGGAGGAAGAAGATGAAAGGCATCTTTAATGTCTGGATGGGGGAAACCCATTGTGAGGAACCCACTCACTATTGTTTTAAATGAAAAGCAATACATGTGGCTCATCTAATTAAAATAACAGTGACCAGCACGTAGAGTTGCCACAGATCCCACCACAGTCAAGACTGTTTTTTCGCTACTGTTCTAAGACAGCTACCAGCTCATGTGCATGACCACTCAGGCAGGTTTGGTAGCAAGATTTAGTTGAATTTCTTATTTTTCTACCCACTCCAGTTTTATTTCCTAAGGTCACCAACTTATTTGTCTACATTTTCACTGATTCGTCACCCTCCACTACCATTTCTTCATGAGTGAGATGAGACTGGTAGCAATGATGGCAGATTTCATGATAATAATAATAATAATCCTTGCATGTGATATACAACAACAACGCCCTTCACGCCGGGTAGCGTCCCGGAGTGTCTTTGAGATGTCTCAAAACGCTTCAAAGGATATACGGTAAAGTGGTTTGACTGTATATTTTGTGGGTGAAAGTGGCAGCCCATTACTCATAGCATTGTTCCACAAAAAGCCATGGAGTGAGTGACCAATTTTATCTGGAGGATTGTTGCCACAACACTGGGAGAAGCTACCCTTCTCTTTTCGATTAATGCTGTGGAATTGTTAGCATCCACCTGAACAGGTAAACGGGACATCGGTTTAATAACCTATATAAAGTACACAATGACAACAACCACAAAATTACATTTGTATAGCGCCTTTCACGTCGGGAGGACGTCCCAAGGTGCTAGACAATCAGTGTTTTGAGCCGAGCTGGGGGTGAGGATTGGGGACGGTGGAGGGCATGGGAGGAAGGAGGGTGACTGGAGGCATAGTCGAAGAGGAGGGTATTGAGATGGGTCTTGAAGGACGCAAGACGGAAGGACTAAATTCCAGAGGGTGGGGACAGAGTGGCTGAAGGCTTGCCCGCCAATGGTGGGGTGGGCGAGGCGGGGGACATGAAGCAGGCCAGAGCCCACTGAATGGAGGGATCGGGCAAGTTGGTAGGGGTTAAGAGGTGACAGAGGTAGAAGGGAGCAACGCCTTTCGTCAGAACGGCCATCAATCTGAAACGTTAACTCATTTTCCTCTCTCCATGGATGCTGCCTGACCTGCTTGTGTTCCCAGTGACTTAATGCGTTTATACCAGATTTCCAACATCTGTAGTAATTTGCCTTTTGAATATTTTATATCTCATGGATTTAAATGCACAATGGGATAAGGGGATCTGAAGAGAACTGCAAACATTCCTTCAACGCGTGATGAGTCATGCAACTCAAAAATGCTATATCACTTTTCCTGTCCTTACACCTTTCAGGTGTTGGACCTATGGAAACGCCTGAATGTGCCCCCAAAGTCTACTATCTGCGTATCTGCCTTGGAAATGGCACCTCTTCCTTAGGTGCCACTTTATTGTAAACCACCCTGCAAGCATGAGAACCATCAAAAGACAGAGGATTGGTGGATGAGCTTTCTTGTCTAACACCCAAATGACAATACTTGCTGCTTTGAGCAGCTCCTGTGAGCAGATGCTCTACTTTCAACAGCGATGGTTAGCACAGAGAGCCATGGCGGTAGCAGAAGAGCAGCAAGCGGCAGAAGATGCACCCTGTCCCAGCCTAGTGGAAGCTATGATTGCACTTTTATAGGAACTTTAAAGGAACTATCATGTTATCCTTCATTGGCATATTACACATTTTCAACTTGATCTATTTTCACTTGAATTGCCTGTTACACAAGTTTTCTTTTGATGTGGATTAAACAATTCCATCTTATTCACTTGAAACAAGTAACACTAGTATGTGTTCATTAGTTACTGGTCCAAGGCCCCAGAGGACGGCTGAGAATTTTGCATGGCATACCCTACATATTCATTTCAATGAAAATGAAACACTTTATCGAATTACTTATCTCCAACTTCTCTATAATTTTCAGTAAAATCAAACTTTCCCGCAGCTGTCTGAGTGATAATCCTGGCAAATCCAGATCACAGGTGGCTGGGAGTTGCTCCTCTAATTGAATAGCCAGAGCAACAGATCAGTTTGTGGATTAGTTTGCATGTCTAGCTTTTGCTGAGGTACTCCGGGATTATGAAAAAAAAGTTGCTTTTATGCCTAATTTAAATGACACGTTTTATGCTGGCTTGCTGTGAAAAAGAAAACGGGATAAATCTGGAGTGAGTTGTACAATTGCAAAGTCATTCGCATTGAGAACTGGCTCCCAGAGACTGACTTGAGACGGTTTTGCCAGGAAATCGGGTTTCACTGCTCCAGTATTAAGTGTATGTGTGCACTTGCTCAAAATTTGTTTTTTTTAGACGTTCTTGGTGGTGCAATGGACTTGCCAAGAGCTGTTGAGGGACAATATTTAATGCTGTGTGACGATCTTCTTTGAAGAAAACTTGCAACAGTTAGCAGTGCTATCCTCAGCCTCCGCAAGCTGAGAGTGAATGAGAGCGGGAAATATAAATTTGGCTGCTTGCTCAGAATCTTTCTGTTGCTGGAAAGAATGTCATATTGTTTTCAAAGCTATAAAGCAAGTTTCATTCCATATGTTGAACTTTACTGCAACAAAAAAAATAGGATCAAAGTCAAAATTCCTGTGAGTTTTCTAATTGCATAATTACAGAGTTTTGTTTTAGCCTAATGATTAAATTTTATAGTAAATGTACAACAATAAAATATCAACAATAAGAAGACAAAAATACAACGGAGGGTTGTATTGATATTTAAACATAACGAAGACTGGTGTCTAATCTCGTAATGACCGACTAAGAACTAACTCGTTTTCAACCACAATTGTTTCTTTCCCATCAACATAAACACTAACTGATGTTACCTGTTTATCGCTGGCATTTTGCGGAATTGAGGACAAATACAGCATTAATCTGCTGTGGCTCCAACATGGTAACCATGCACAGTATTGCTGGATAAACAGAAATTCCAGCAGGAATTGTCCCTTATCCCCGTGCGCAGCAAATCCTCCTCTTAGTCCATTCGCGCTTCGCTAATACCCCTTCGTCAAACGTATAAATTTTCGTAAATTATTATTGTCTGTTTAGTTTTTTGTTTCTTTTTCTGATATAAACACTTTATAATTTGAACTTTAATGCACCCATACACTGACTAAATATTTGAGGGAAAAGGGAATAGAGGTGTGATGATTAGCAAGGTGGAGGTATGTATGGAGTATAAAAACTGACACAGATTAGTTGGGGGCAAATGGCCTCTTTCATTGCTGTAGATTCTATGTAATTCTATGCAAACATGAAATACAACTCTCAGAAATCAGATGACAAGTTGGTCATCTGCTGTTTAGGTTAACATTAATTATTCTGTGCCACAATTCAAAAATAGAATGGAGTTTCTCCAGGGTCCTGGCCAATAAGTCTCCAGATCAATTGGCCATTCCCTTCATGACCATTTGTGGAACCAGCTTTGAGCAAGTTGACTGCCATGTTAGCCTCCAAATACAGGATCACTCCACTGGCCCTGGACAGTACTTAATTGTGAAATGCTTTGAAATTGTCAATGTTATTGGAGCTACAACATATCCAAGGATTATTATTATCATTATTATAAAATGTTGCTTCCTGACTTGCAAAAATATTGTTTTAAGAATCGTGTGCCATTTTCACACAGTACTATGATTCAGAAAAAACAAATGAAAATATTTACAGGGAAAGGCATGCTTTCAATGTACAAAAATACTTCACCTTGAGACATTTGGTTAAAAAACATGTAGTATTGATATATTTTTCTTACAATATCCTGAATGGAAGTAGAATGCACTTGGATTTACGAGTTACATTTGGTCCCATGGAATTGCAAAGCTTTGTGAAAATGAGCAGCTTTGTCATATGACCTCTAAACCAAACACCTCATCTCTGCTGAGCAATCCACTCAAAATTAGTAACCTCAACCGTGCATTTTTTCAGACTAAACAGGTCCTGACTTGATGCTAAGCATTTAGCCTCTTTTGTGAAGAGGAGAAGGGAATAGTTGGATTTATGGTTGCACTTGAATTGTGATCACCAAATAGATTTCCTTTTACCAGAAGATAAACAACCATTAAACCATGTCTTGCTTTTCAATTTTTTTTGCATTGTGTCCCTTGTTTCTGTATGGTGTTTAATGAGACAGACATTAATCATCACACAGAACCCCGCCTCTCCTCGCCACATTCACATGTGTTTTGCAGCAGTAATGACTAGATGGCAATCAGGAACAGAATCCAAGATGTTTCTCCCCGACATCACAGAAGTAAAACCAATTATAGCACCTCATTGCTGCCCTGTCTGAAATCAACTCAGTCCACACAAGCAGGCAACCTGCAACCTTCTGCTCAATTCAGCTAATCCTAACATCGAGCAAGAGGCCAACAGGGAATCTGTTTAAAGCTTTTAAAAGTCTTTGGTACCTCACAATAGTTTATACTGAAGTTCTCAGCGCTGTCAATAGGCCAACAAAGGGTTTACTGCTCTCCAGAAACGGAGATAGATACGAAAGAATTCTCAACACTGATCAACATATTATACCTTGAAGATTTTCAATTTTTAAAAGGCTACTGAAATGACAAATATACCTAAAGATAATACAAGTTCACATATGCTGATGACTTTCTGTTATCTCCTTGTTACTGTGTCCAAAGCTTCAGCTTTGCTAGTTGGAAAATGCCTGGGCATAGATTTTTTGCACACCCACGGGCTTCAAGAAGCTCCACTGTAGAGCTGCGGTGGACATGAAGTGCTGTACCTGCTCTACTGCCCCTATTCATCACAACACTGATGTCACAGGAGGGTGACATTGCTCTCCAAAAAACAAAAACAACAAAATTACATTTGTATAGCGCCTTTAACATCGGGAGCACATCTCAAGGTGCTGGAGAGACAGATTTTGGACCCGAGCTGGGGGTCGGGGAGGGTGGAGGGAAGGGGGGGGAAGCAGGGAGATCAAAAGCA